AAAACAACACTTCTACTTACTTTTTTTCTAGAAGACCAAAGAACCAGAAATATATTTTACCCATTGATATTAATAGCATTTATAATTATAGTATTAAAAAGAGTATGTAATTAGGGTCCACTGTGTTCATCAGGGAGCTTATAAGTCAATTTGTCTAAGAAGTCTCCCCTACCCCCATCCTTAGTACCTCTAACATGTCCCCATTCCTCTCTGGGCTTTCCATCTACACCCTTGATCTCTCTAAAATCCTCCCAGAATGACAGCGATCTCTGTTAGCGCAGGGACAGGGCAATGGCCCTTGGGCCCAGCACAAAGCCCTTTATGTACATCTTCCCATTAATTTTCACAACGTTCTTTTGAGTTAAATACTATTATCATCCCCAGTGTGCAGATGTTGAGACTGAGGCTCAGAGAATTAAGCAGTCTGCTCAAGGTCAGTGGGTGACAAAGCTGGGATTCATCCCCAAGATGAATTGAGTCCAAAGTCTGTGCTTTTATTTGTGTATTTCTTTATTTTTAATTAAAATACTTTTTTTAGAGATGGAGTCTTGCTATGTTGCCCCCACTGAACTGGAAGTAACTCCTGGCCTCAAGCAATCCTCCTGCCTTGGCTTCCCAAAACACTGGGATTACAGGAGTGAACCACCCCACGTCCAGCCTCAAAGTCTGGGCTTTTAATTACTCTTGTATATTGCCTCAACTATTTGTTGAATGAATGAATGCATCTTACAACTGCAAAGGTTCTTTAACATAATTTACATCACTCCTTACAATCACCCCAAATTCCCTCTGGCTGCTGTAACAAGTTACCACAAACTTTGTGGCATAAACGACATAAATTTATTCTCTCCCAAGTCTGGAGGCCAGAAATCTGAAATCAGTTTCACTGAGTTGAAATCAAGTTGTCAGCAGGGCTGTACTCTTCTAGAGGCTCTAGGAGAGAATCTGTTCCTTGCCTCTTCCAGCTTCCGGTGATTGCCAGCATTTCTTGGCTTGTGGCTTGATATGGTTTGGCTCTGTGTCTCCACCCAAATCTCATCTCGAATCGTAATCTCCACAGATTAAAAATCCACTTGGGAACGGTTTTCCCCATGCTGTTCTTGTGACAGTGAGTTCTCAGGAGATCTGATGGTTTTATAAGCATCTGGCATTTCCCCTGCTTGCACTTCTGTCTCCTGCCACCATGTGAAGAAAGTCTTTGCTTTCTCCTCACCTTTGGCATGATTGTTTCCTGAGGCCTCCCCAGGCTTGCGGAACTGTGAGTCAATTAAATCTCTTTCCTTTGTAAATTACCCAGTGTAAGTAATGGTGGAAGGATGAAAGGCAAAAGCAAGTGCAGGAGACAGAGAAAATGTGACTAAGCTCCCTTTTATAACAAACCCAGTCTTGTGATAACTAATCCACTCTTATGACAATGGCATTAATCACTTCCTGACAGCCCCACCTCTTAATAGTGTTACAATGGCAATTAAATTTCAGCACAAGTTTTGATGGGGACATTCAAACCATGGCAGTCATACTGCCTTCTTCTCTTCTGTCTGTGTCAGATCTCCCTGCCTCAATCTGATAAGGACACTCATTATTACATTTAGGGCCCACCCAGATAATCCAGGAGAATCTCCCCCATCTCAGGATCTTTAACATAATTACTTTTTTTTTTTTTT